CACGGAGCTATGCGCATGCGCCAGCTCCGCGGTAGTGGGAGGGCGGCCTTTCCCGAACGTCAATTGGCTATTTCTCTCTTTAGCCGCACCCTCCACTCCGCCCCCGAGCCAGGCCAAGCCCCGCCCACCGGTGGATTCACAGGTAAAGAACTATGGCAAGTGCGCGCAGTTTTCAGTCCTGCTGTTTTCCGTGCTGTCACTCCAGCGCGTGCGCTGACGTCACCCGAACGCCCACTCTCAGACCCAAGAGTTCTGCTGAGTCTCCGAGTCGCGCCGGGCCATCTGCAGGACCGAAAAATGATGACAGAGACCGGGCAAGGTGCCTGCCTGGAGCTTATGGCCTAGCCTTCAGAAGTCTGAGGCAGGAGGATTGCTTCGAGTTGGAGTCCCTGTCTCTAAAAATACAAAGGCGACTGCCGTCAACCCTGACGACTGAGTTCGATCTCTGAGACCCAGAAGAACTGCATTAAATAGATGCAGTTCTAGGAACCCACGTGGTCCTGAATGTTATCCTCTGACCTGTACACGCCTTGTGACTCTCATGCATGCACACACATGCACACACACACACACACACACACACACACACACACACACACACACAAATGAGTAAGCAAATGTAAAAACAAAACACAAAATTTAAGGGCTCAGCCACCCTTGCAAGTATGAGAACCTCCATTCCACTGCCCGAACCCACATAAAATAAAAAGCCAGCCAGTCTTGATGCTGCAAGCCTTTATTCCCAGCATTCAGGAAGCAGAGGCAAGGTGATCTCTGTGAGTTCCAGGCCCACCTGGTCTACATACTGAGTTCCAAACCAGCCAGGCAGCCAGGGATAGTGAGATCGCTTGGAGAGAGAGGGGGGGGGGGTCTTCATAGAGCTGCACGGAGAAGATCCCATCCCACTGCTTGCTAATGCTCAAGAGTTTTCCCAAGCTTTCTGGCTGTGGAAATCTCGGCTCCTGATGCTTTGCACCCATTCACTATAGACCATATATCTGCAGAGATGGCTGTGAGGAACAGAGACTACAGGACCATTGCCCCCTCTGAATCACAGAGACATGGCTGACATTCAAGGTGTTTTGTTTGTTTGTTTGGATTTTTATCCCATTTATTTGTTTATGTTGTGTGTATCTATGTGTCTAAGAGTACGTCTGCATAAGTACATGACTCAACTTGAATAGAGGCCAGAGGACAACATGCAGTAGCCATTTCCCTCTTTCAACCACGTGAGTCCCAAGGATCAAATTTAGGTCATAAGGCTTGGTAGCAAGTGCCCTTGCCTGCTGAACCATCTCACTGGCCTGCATTTTATTTTAGAGGCAAGGGCTCTCTGAGACAGGCTAGTGTACAGCTCTCCATGCTTCCGTCTCAGCCTCACAAGCGCTGGGATGACAGGTATATGCTATCACACATACCATCACCTCAGGTCCCTCTTTTTATTGATCTTTATGTCATGTGTTTGGGTGATGTTTGCCTGAATGCATATATGTGTACTGTGTGCATGTTTGATGCATGCAGAGACCATAAGTGTTTGTTGGAGCCCATGGAACTGGAGTTACATATAGTTGCAAGCTGCCATGCAGGCGCCAGTAATGCCCTTAACCACTGAACCATCTCTCCAGCCCCACCCTTCTAGCACTCCGTTTTTGAGAAATGGTTTCATGTAGCCCAGGCTGGCTGCAAATTCACTATGCAGCGGAGGCTAGCCTTGAACTCCTGATAAATCTCACAAGTGTTTGAGGATAACCAGTCACCACAACATGTGGCTTCTTATTCCACAGCTGAGGAGTCAGGTCCAATGAGCTGCTGAAACAAAAAGGTCCATAGCCTGAGAGTCTTAAGTCCTGATGCAGTTCCTTCTGCCTGGATTGGACAATTTATTGAAACCGTGCTCAAGAGTAAGCCTGCTTTTCCTTGTTGGGAATTTGGTCTGTTTGGGTTGATCTGAGAACACAGATACCTCTGGATGGAGTGATAATGGAACCAAATTTGGGGCTGAAAAGGAAACTCAGTCAGTAAAGGACTTGCTGAACAAGGGTGAGGACATGAGTTCCATCCTCAGGACTCCCACAAAACAAACAAACAAACAAACAAACAAAACAAAACAAAACAAACAAACAAACAAAAAAAGGATGTGGCAGTGCATCCTTGTAATCCCAGCCTGAGGAAGTGGAGACATAGGATCCCTGGGGCTCACTGGCCAGCCAGTCTAAAATAGACAAGTCCCAAGTTCAGCTGGAGAACAAGGTGGAAGGCATTCCTGAGGACGACACATGTACATACACATACAGAAGTCACATTTGCAGAACAACATCCAAAGAATCCTGCACCCACAAGTTCTCCTATGCTCTTCTAGACATATGACACTCAGAGAGATCAGAAATCAAATGCATTGCCCCCAGTAGATAATAAAGTGTAGAATCCAAGACTTGAGCCTCAGCTCTCTAGGACCATGGCCACTTCCTTCCTTCCTTCCTTCCTTCCTTCCTTCCTTCCTTCCTTTATTAGTGTTTTTTTTTCTTGAGACATAGTCTCACTATGTAGCCCTGGCTAACCTGGAACTCACTATGTAGTCCAGGCTGGCCTCAAACTCCCAGAGAGCTGCTTGGCTCTGCATCCCAAGTGCTGGGATTAAGGTGTGTGACATCACACCCAGCTGTGACCTATATTCTTGGTACTACATAGTGAGAGTTCTCTAGTCCTCACAGCATGGGTCATTAATAGGACCCTCACTGCCCCTCAAGGCTTCATGAGTTGACATAATCCTCAGATCCCAGTATAGGGCCAGTTGTAGGGAAGAACCTGTTTGGAGGGTTTCAGCCTGCACCAACATGTGTCTTTATGTTAGAAAAGCAAACCATCATGACTGGAGAGACAGCTCAGAGGTTAAGAGCACCAGCTGCTCTTCTAGAGGACCTGAGTTGAATTCCTATCACCCACATACAAGCTCACAACCATGTGTAACTCCAAACCCAGGGGATTTGATGCCCTCTTCTGACATCCAAGAATACCATGCACACATGTGGTACACAGACATACATGCAGGCGAAACACCCCTACACATTAAATAATGGAAGGGGGGAGGTTTCGAGACAAGGTTTTTCTGTGTAGCCCTGGCTGTCCTGGAACTTGTTCTATAGACCAGATTGACCTTGAACTCAAAGATCTGCCTGCCTCTGCCTCCCAAGTGGTGGGACTTAATTAAGGTGTGCACCACCACACCCAGCTAAATAAAAGTTTAATTTAGAGAGAGAGAGAGAGAGAGAGAGAGAGAGAGAGAGAGAGAGAGAGCCATCACGTGGTGCAGCTTGCCAGTATTGTGTTCAGCAGACAGAGCCATCTAGTAAAAAACACCCCCATCACAGGGACCAGAGAGGTAGCCCAGCCTATTAGAGATGTCAGCCCATCCCAGTTCTTAACTTCACCTTGACCCAGGAGCAAGGCTCTAACCTACACTCAATACCAATCTCCCCATCTTTCAGATGGAGATAATGACACTAGAATCCCACACTGTGGTGTTTGCTATGACATTCAGTGAAGGTGGGGCCCTTATAGCTGGCTCCTTGCCTGGCCACCTAAATTACTTCCTTCCATTAGGTAGGAAGAGAGCTGGAGCTGGTTGCCCTGGTTCTATATTGCCTCTGCTTCTATTTGCCATATATGTGTACTCTGGGGCAAGTTGCTTCGCCCCTCCAAACCCCAAGCTCCTTGT